CAACCACCACGTCAACAACCACAACTACCTCCACCACAACATCAACTTCTACAAGAACCACTACAACCACCACAACCACCACTACACTTGCCATAGTTGCCCCATCGCCCACCGAACTTGAGCACGGCTTGGAGTGCGACTACTTCTACGACCAGGCTCAGTGCAATGTCCCGGACCTGGCGTCCTTGACCCCGGCCCACCGTGAAATCCTGCCGAATCTCCACATGCACCGCGGCAAATTCCCCCATGTTCGGCAAGAGGACAATTTCTGCCTCCGGTGCAAAGGGTATTTGAGCACCAAGAAGTCGGGCCACTACAAGTTCTACACTGCCTCAGACGATGGCTCTTTGCTGTACCTGAACGGGGCTAAGGTCGTCGACAACAACGGCTGCCACGGTGAACGTGAGAGGTCAAGCGAGGACAAGTACCTTTCCGCGGGTACCTACGAGCTGGTGGTAGAAATGTGCGAAAAGGGTGGCGGCGAGGCTTTCAAGGTGCGCTATGAGGGACCAGATACCGGTGGCTCCAAGGTCACGGTGCCCGCATCTGCTCTCAAACACGAACACAAGCGCTTGGCAGAAGGCCTGGAGTGTGACTACTTCTACGACCAAGCTCGGTGCTATGTCCCGGACCTTGGAGGTTTGACCCCCTCGCACAGCGCAGTTCTGCCGAACATCTACATGCACAATGACAAGTTCCCGCATGTTATTCAAGACAACAACTTCTGCATCAGGTGCAGCGGCTATCTGAGCACAAAGAACTCGGGCAACTACAAGTTCTACACTGCCTCTGACGACGGCTCCCTCCTGTACCTGAACGGCGAAAAAGTCGTCGACAACAACGGCTGCCACGGTGAGCGTGAGAGGTCCAGCCAACAGAAGTTCCTTGGACCAGGTATCCACCACCTGGTGGTGGACATGTGCGAAAAGGGTGGCGGCGAGAACCTGAAGATGCGATATGAGGGACCAGATACCGGTAATTCCAAGGTTGCGATACCCGCATCGGCTCTCAAGCACGAGGTGAAGCCTTTCTATGCGGACGGCCTGGATTGTGACTACTTCTACGGCAAGGCTCAGTGCGACGTCCCGGACCTCGCGTTCCTAACACCGAAACACAGTGCTATCCTGCCGAACATCA